TTTTCAAAAGTGAGTTATGGCATCTAAAGGGAGATTCCACGTTGACGTGGAACCACACGTCTTTAAACCTTTGTATCCCCGCATTACACATAAAGCCTTCCACGGAGCACATGCTCACCTGCAGTGCTCTCTCTCTCTCACACACACACAAACACACACTGCATCACGAATGAATAAATACATCTGAAGCAAGCTGAGGAAAAGACAAAAAGCAAAATTATAGGTAAGCGAATCAATTTCCACCCGAGCACCAGTACTTCTGATTCTTTATTTCAAGACAGACGCTGGTTGGGAATTCTCTGAATTTACTGAAGCAGGACAACAAAGGCAGAAGAGTGGAGGCCCCCAAACAGATCAAACTTATTTGAAATGAATCAGGTCAATAGTAACTACATGAGGAAAATTAAAGAAACTAAGAATGTCCTGGGAAATAAATTAAGGAATCACAGAACAGTATAGTCAAATATCACCAGGCTATGAGCACTAACAAGAAGCAATTCACAAATATTTCAGATATTGTTCCATCTGTCAAGCTTAAAGGCCTCATCACAAGAAGAGATCAGAGATAACAAATATGTCGCATCTTGGACTAAAAATAAAGCAAGTCCCTCTATACACAATAAAATGCTTTGAAGTATACACATTTGTTGATTGTGTGACATATTCTTAACCTTACTAGGAAGGTACAGCTCTGCTGGGAGCAATTAATTGAGAAAGCTACAGAAAACTCTGCAAAGGGTAAGTGAAATAGTTGGAATACTTTTCTTGCTGCAGACAGCTGGTTGGTGCTAATTTAGCTACTTTACTGTGAGGGGAGGAAGGAGGGGGGAGCAGTAAGGTTTTTTGTATTTTACCACACCTCTGCAAATTCAGAGGAAAGGAAAACAAGGAAGGCATTGATAAGCATGGAAAATGAACTGGCTTTCTTCCTGCTCTCCTCAATGAGCATGTCTATTCTAAATGGCCCAAGGAACCAGTACACTTTCCATTCAGGTGACATACATCTAAGGGAATCTAACCAGAAAGCTGTGCTAAGCAGCAGTTTACCTTTTGTTTTTCAAATAGCTTTATTGGAATATAATTCACAGCCATACAGATCACCCATTCAAAGTGTCCCACTTCAATGGTACTTTGTACCTGTATATCCAATTAGTACCAGCACCCCAATCTAATTTTAGAACATTTTCATCATCCCTAGCAATTAATACATTTTAATAGATGATTAAATGGTTTGCGATCTAATTATATAAATACATACAAGCATACATACATATATCATACATACCTAAACACTCATAATCCAAAATAAAAACTAAAGGACATTTCTGATGAGCTATGAATGCTCTCAGTGAAATGGCCCTGTCTACTGGAAGGAACACATTTTGATGACAGAAAAAAGACAGTCTTTCCATTCCTTACTTCATTTTGGTGATCTAACTACTTTAGTTAGGCTTCTTTGCAGAGGTAATTTCGACAAAATGCAAAAGGAATCATTTGCCCTGCCCTTCAAACTAATAATTTTCCTAGTTTTTAGTTTGTTTGTTTTTTCTGAAGAATAATTTCTGCCCATATCAAAAGCCACTTAGTCTCTTCATTACTATGCTTACTTCCATCTCTAGCTTTCTGGACCAGGGGGACCATATTTTCCTGTATTTGGTTACATTAAATATCTCCAGCTCCTCCTTCTGAGCAGCTCAAGAAAATTCATTACAGGAAGCAACAAAACAGAAAGATGGAAACACTTTCCATTATCCATTAGACCCAAGCCAAATTAACTTTAAATTGGTAATATCTTAAGCTTGGAAAAGCAGATATGCTTCAAATTTTTCCCTCTTGATTTTCAGATTAACTCCTATAACAGAGTTTATAAGAGTTGCCTATGTATAGGGTTTTTTTTTTTTACAGAGAGGCAAGCTGGGGACTTTAACACACTGCAGGAAAATCTGGTTTATCTGGTTTATCAATCATCCAAATTTTGATTTGGATGCCACCCTATGCTGCCCATCAGAAAACAAGCAAGGAAAAAATGGTCATCTTACAATACTGATGTCAGTCTATTCTCTAATGCCAAAGAAATAATGCAGTTACACTGGACAGAGAGATACACTACCAGAGTGGGGATAAAAGAAGCCTAGTTGCTTTCATATAGGACAGAAGTACTGCAAGTTGATGCGGACCACAGGGAGGTCCATTAACAGCAAGAAGGAAAATGAGGGTGTGTTCACCTCTGAGACAGCAAAGTGGCAAAAAGCAGCAGAAAAAAGGTGACCAAAACCATTTCAGGAATTCATCTGTCGACAGTGGTGTTTATAATAAAGACCCAGTAACACTCAGGTCCAATGACAGTGGTCAAAAAGCATAACCTCAGGTCTAGAATGTAAATGATTTCATTGTAGTGAAACCGGTTTTATAAAAGAAGATCTGACAGCAGATCCTTGGTCTGCATTTAGTTTAAAAAACTAACAAACAAAATGATTGGTAAATAGCAAACTAATACTAAATAAAATTATCAGAGACTATTACAAAAACTGAGCCAACAGAAAGATATTTACCCCAGGATTATATTAATATATTCTAAATTCATCTAGAATTTGCATGCATATTAACACCAAATTGACCTCAGTCAAACCACGACAGAAAACTGGTCAGCCTGGCATGAGGAAGGGCTGCTCTTATTACTGAGAGAGAAGCCCCACTTGACTCTTCCCTGAGGCCACAGCTCTGCTATGTGTATGTGCGTTCAAGAAGCAATCAGCGACAGCATTTCCAGTGCTACACACATAGGACAAAAAAGAAATAGGATCCATGCACACGTCTAGTCATTAAAATAATAGTGGAGATGGATCAGGCACTTCAAGGGCACTGCAAAAACTATAAATTTTTGATGAAGGGATATGATCACAATTTTTCAACCTGGGTTTGAACCAAGGCTCATGAGAGCTCTTTTACTAAATGCAATATCACACTAGCACTTTGCTATGATGTTCCACACAATAGATTATAAACCTAACTTCATGGCTCTTTAGAATTAATCATTTCTAAAGGGAGGGAGTTGAACACACAGAGTTAACATAGTTCACCAGAGTGGCTTCTTTCCCACCTATCATATCATCCCTTCTTCAAAGGAGAATAATATTAAAAAAAAGTTATTCCATAGTAACTGAATGGCTTTGATAAGCTACTATTTCCAGATTACATCCTGAGGTTGAAAACTGGTATCATATAAATATATAACATGATAAATATCTTAATTTAATGAATAATCACTTATTTCTTGCTTAAGACTACTGGATAAGAAACGTGAGGAAAGAGTGGAAGAGAAAGAGAAGAGGCAGAACAAAAGGAGGAATAGTAGATTGTCTTCAAAAGATAATTTAAAATTTTAAAAGTACTTGTTCTTCAATGCTTGATATCTGTCTGCCACTTTTCACCAGAGAATTAAGCAAAAGCAAAACTTTTCAGTAGATGAATATGCTTCCTTATCTGGAACAATAACTTCACAGATATATGATAACTAGGTGTAGTAACTTTAAGAAAATCTCAGATCTGATATTAAAGTGAATTCCCACGGTCTTAATATGCTTTTGCCAAAAATTAACAACTGTAGAACAACTTATTTTTTCACTCTAGCCACAACAGAGAAATAAAGCCATATGCCTTATTTCTTTAATACACTAAATTTAGATTTCAATGTTAAAATAGGTTTTGACATAAACGGCTTTAAAATAACACAAGCGTCTTTCATTTGGGTCTTTTCCCAGTTAATTATTTTCTGGCATTGTACTAGAAATTCCTTGGCTTCACCTTAAACCAGCACTCCCAAGTGCTAATTAGGAGACTATATACATTATTAACCAGAGATTGTTGTGCTTAAAACATATATGTTCCATATGTATCCTATTATTAACAATATTCCTCTCACTCCTGGAAAGCTCTCTTTAAAAATTAGAGCCCCTATTTAAACAAAGAAATTGGCTGCTATTGAGGTAATTCTTGTTGAAATGCAATTAATAGGTAAGGGCCAATATGACACAGGATCGCTGTCTCTGAAACATCTTTAACATGAATCAAGTTTAATCTGAAATAGTCAGTGTAAGGAAAAGTTAACGACTACAGATATTACACACTTTGATAGTACCAAGGGGCCTCCAAAGAGAATGGTCAACTCTCATAAAAGCTAAACCACTGCCAAGAACCAGACATGTCGGTGAATGCAAGCCAGACATGACTTTTTCCAGTACTGTCTCTTCCCCAAAAGCCAAAGGACAGATGGAGAAAGAAACATACATAAACAAGGTATGCCTAATGACTTCTGAATTACAAAGGAGATATGATCTTCTCATTAACTGGCAAGCTAATTGACCACAATCTCAGCTTCAAAAATTGAGTCCCATAATCCAAACTTTGGGGTCTGGATGCCACGCAATTCTCCTCACACTTCCACACTCTTCATCCAGCCACAAAGTTGTCAGTTCTGCTTGATTTGTTTGAACACTGTACTCCACGACAGCTGTCGGAAACGGTACATTAGAACAGCTGCTATGACAGCTACAAGGGCTTGGAAGTTTAATTGGGCTCAATGTGACATTGTGCATTTTTCTAAACATAGCAATAGCCACAAAACTAAAGAAATTTCTAATGGGTCTGAGCTATGTTTACTTATTGGCACCAACAACTGGTTAATCCCAGTCTGGGTTCTATCATTGGTCTCATAGTATCTTTTGCCACTGGGCTGTTAAGAGTATCAAAAAAAAAAAAAAAAGCCAAAACAGTGGGAGCAGTGAGATGCACAAGAAAAAGGGCATTAAGCGAGAGGAAATGGTAAGGAAGTCACATCAATAATCTCTCTGAAAGGCTGGCTGGCAGCCAAGGAGGATCCCACAGTGTCTCAGGATTTACTTCCAAAGGAAACATATTCAGCAGCCCTGAGCATGGTGCCAACTGCAAACAAAACCACTCATTATGGTCCCAGCCCCCCAGGGAAGGGGAGGATGGCTTACTCTCAGCATCCGCGTGGAGGAAGAAGGCAAGGAGCATCAGCAGTGGCCTGGCTATGTGCACCATCCTGCAGCTTGGCACCAGCACACACTGGCAGCTTGGAATCACTGCCTCAGAAGCCGCAGCAAGTCAGGCTGATCTGAAATTTCAGCTGGAACACTTTCAGAGCCTGTGAGGGGAGTGGTAGAGGAAGAAAGGGAAGAAAGACAAAGACACTTAGACTCTCACTCTTTTCACCTTATCCCATCACAACCATCATGAGAGACGCAAACCACTGTATGTAGCCCATAAACTGTAACCGTGATGCCTTTGCATTAGGAAGCAAACAACCTGGTTTGTGAAATGAGGCAGCCCAAGCTTATCTTATTCCCATGTTCAGGTCATCTTGGAGCCAACCATTTTGAATTTTACTCTCTGCTCAGGCCACCTTTTGGGCAATGCTTTATGAGAAGAAACTGTCACCTCTTAGGAAACAGTACATGAATACATCGGTGGAAGAAAGCACATCAATGCTATGTGTGAGATTTAAGAGATGCTCCACCATGCAGGATAAAAGTCTATTACTGGCAGAATAATGGAAGTTGCTTTCTTGGCACCAGGTGAAATGACAGTGTTAATTCAACTTCTCCAGCTAAATAGTAGAGGTTAGAATGTTTTACACCAGCACATTTGGCTTCTTCCCTAAAGACACATCACATTTAGGTCTAGTTTGGCTTCAATAAGTCAAAACAATAGCTAGCATAAGCCACTTTGATTTAACAGGATGTTTATATGCCTCCTGGGCAAGGGCTTAGTTTTCTCAATCTTCTATGTAAAATCAATAAGCCACAGACTGCTTTTACAGAGCCTACTGCGGGCAAAACATGAGAACTGCACTCATTTGTGCACCTCAAGATACACAAAGGAGTCAGATTTCACCCTCTGTGATTTTCCAGTTTAGGAGGGAAATAAGCCAGGTACATTGGATGATGAGAAGTTAATACGTGATTAGTGCCAGGGAGGAAAGCCAAATAATGCCATGGAATACAGGGAGCAGGAATGACATCATGGAAAAATCGGTGTCTCCAACTGGACCCCAGAGTACTGGCAGGATTTTACCAAAAGAAAGGCAAGGCATTCCAGGAATTCTAAGCAAAGGCAGGGCAGTGAAAAAGGAACTCTGGCAAAGGTGAGTCACCTGGCTGGCCTGGATCAGGACTTCCCAGATATCTACATGCTTCAGAACCACCTGGCAGGCTTACACCAAGGCACCCTCCCACCAGAGTTTGTGATGCAGCAGGTCTGTGGTGGGGGTCTGAGAACCTGCATTTCTAACGAGTTTTTGAAAGATGCTGAAGCAGCTGACACCAGGTCCACACTGACACTACAGGATTGGTGTGATGGATCCATTAGGAAACCAAAAGAGGATGAGGCAAAACACAATGGCTTAGGCTTAAAAAAATAACAGATCATGGAAAGCCATGGATACCAACCTAAGTCAACCAGCCTTTTTGCAGCAAACCACAAAGGGGATTATTTAATGTTTTGGAGAAGAACAATATAGGATGAAGCTTTGAAAAGATTAAGTGATAGCTGAATGTGGGATGATTTACAGAACACTATTATCGAGAGTCACAAGTAAGAAGTAACACAGACCATAAGAGTTATGGTGGTCCTGGTGGGAAGAGAAAAAATGGAAGTGATGACTGACTGGCTCCAAGCAACAATTTGAAGTATGGCTCTTTAGGTAATAAATAATAGTTCCTACAGAACCTTCAGTAAATTGAGCACAACATTTTATACAGAGTAGGCTCTTAATAAAGAAAGAAGGCATTTTTAATATTATTGCTTTCTCTTTCACTGTGAGAGTAACTTGGGAAAGACAATCAGAACATGTTTGCCCATGAAATGCTATACATCTAAGTTTTGCATGTTGGAATATGTGGAAACAAATACAAAACTTGTGACAAAATACTAGAGATATCCAGAAATAACCTAAAAACTCAAAATAACTTGTACTTTAAAAAAGAATTGCAATACAGATACTATAGTGCGTCTTTTATGAAACAGCATGAGAATAAAATTTTTTTCTAAAAAGATACTATCCTTTTCAGTGCTATACATAAATGGTGTGAATGCAAGAAATACAAAACTAAAAGGAAAGGAGTGAATCATTCTAAGTACCATTCCATTAAATAGCCTTTTTTTTTCTTTTCAACAGATTTGTGGGTGGCATGAAGAATCAAATTGTACATTGAAATGCACACACTTGAAACCAAAAGCTAGCCAGCTGCTCCAAATCAGCTATTGTTATCAATCTCATTTGAAAACAACTTATCAAGCAGGTCACAGCTATCAAATGTTAAAATTCTCCAAACTTCATAGTAGAAGTGCTAAAGGAACCAGCTCTTCCCCTGCCCCCCTTTCACCACTCCCATCCTCATGCCAGCATTTCAAATGACAGCAAGTCCAGGAGACATCAGTCCTGTCAGACTCAATTTGTGTCTGTGCAAGCGTATCAGAGCCAACTGCTACATAATGCCTCCGTGCAATCTCAGAGATGGAGATGTATGAAAGGCTCTCTCAGGAAAGAGGTGATTTGGTTTTCCCTCTGCTCGACTAAAGGGCCATAAGAAGACTAAATTCTTCCCAATGAAGCTACAAATGTTACCTCAGGACTTGACACAGTGATAGGATCTAGAAATAGATGCAGATATGAACATACCTATTTTTACATAAATAGGTTATGCCCTTGGCCGAGATATGACAAGAGGAAATCAGAGGTGTGAAGATAAAACCAGTTCTAGAGGTTCATTCTGGCCAATCTCTCTTCTGCATCTTGTTTATAACAGAAACTTTGCCAAAAGGAAAATGCTGGCTTGTGTATCAGTAAGATGGAATTTAAATTTTGGTACAAAAATGGGCAAAAGATCTCTCCTATTTTAGATTTCTTTTTTTAATGTGGGCCCTTCTTGAAGTCTTTATTGAATTTGTTACAACATCACTTGTTTTAAGTTTGTTTTGGTTTTTTTTGGGGGGGCACAGAGGCTAAAATGTCGGATCTTAGCTCCCCAACCAGGGATCAAACCCACACCAGAAGGCAAAGTCTTAACCACTGGACTGCTAGGGACAAGAGGTTTTTAAGGAAACATTTTCAGTGTAAATAATGCAGATGAATCAATGTTACAAGTACTTTCAATTAGCCTAAAGAAAGTATAGCCAAGAACTCAGCAATAAAAACAGCAAGAAAGAGGGGGCTGGAGATACTAAAAGTACCATGGTCTAGTTTACATCACAAATTATTCTGCATCTGTCCAACAGCCCTCAGCAGAGGTTAACTCTGTGATTTTTAAGCACCCTGCCCTTTGTGTCTTTTATCAACTGGGACAGGCAGATAAAACTGAACCAGCTAGATGAGCTGAACGTAAAAATATTTAAAACTCCCTGGTTTCTTACTGCTCACAGCACAAAGATGTTAGCAATAATTTTGCTGATTTCCATTTTCTTTTCTATTATGTACATGTGTGGTTAGAGAAACTAAGAGGGCCAGTGTATGCAATCTAATTTGAAATGTAACAAAAATATACTTGCCCTGAGTCTTGAATTACTGCTTCAAGTGGTCTCATTAGCTGACACCTATCTAACCCTTTATCTTCAAGTTAACACTAGAACCCTTTTCTGTAATAAGTATATTCACATTCAAATTGATAAAATGCTTAAGGATTTTTTTCAGCTTTCTGTATTGTTGGTATTTCTATAGATTATGTTAACAAAAGAGGGAAAAAAAGGCTTTAAAAAAATCTTAAAAGTTCCTAGAGAAATGGTGATTATAGGCTTTTTGGAGGAAATGTGCAAATCTTGCCATACCAGCAAGCAAGGAGGCTTTCGGGCATTAGCAGGGTTTTTCTTTGTTTTAACTTTTTATATTAGACTGGAGTATAGCCAATTAACAAAATGCTGTGAAAATTTCAAGTGAACAGCAAAGGGATGCAGCCATACACACACATGTATCCATTCTCTCCCAAACTCCCCTCCCATCCTGGCTGCCATATTAAAACTGAGCAGAGTTCCCCGCGCTACAGGGTAGGAGCTTGAGGAACTACCCAGTTTATATCCAAAAAGAGAAGCCAAGGTGATGAGGCTTCCAACCGTCAAATGCAGGAAAATCTGAGTGGCAAAATGAGTAACACCTGCAATTATCTGGAACGCATCACATCAAACTAAAAGAGTTTGTAATCTTAAAATTATTTTCAAAAATTATAGTGGTCAATCTAGGAGAAAGTTAAAGAAGCAAACCATTATTCTGAAAAGAGGGAGACAAGGGTAAATACTTAGGTTTTTTAAACCATCACAAGAACTTAAAGCTGCTTTCACTAGAAACTAGATACTGTTTATCCCTATACATTTTGCTTCTTTCTGTCTTAAAATAACCCTATACTTTCAATTCTAGACATCTTAAAAGCAATAATATGGTAATGGCATTTAACCTGAGCATATGCCCATTAAAGTAGGGAGATGGTGGGGTAAGGAGGAAATCCCTAAATGCTGTGACTTCTTTTTATCAACTTCTCAAACGGATCAGGCCTCTATAAATTGACTAGGACAGATTTCCAATCATATAAGAGGAAAAAAATATCTGTAAGGAGGATGTGCTACCAGGGAACTCTGATTAATGAGACAAAAGCAGGGCTGGAGCAAACTTTGTGGTGAGTCTGGTAGAACGCTGAGGGTGCCCTGTGAATTTCCTGTCCCCTCAGTACACAGTTATAACACAAGAAAACAAAAAGAAAAAACAAAAATCAACTTTCAACACTTCACTTCTTCATGAGGATTCTCCAGCAGAAGACAGTCCCTTAAATATTTTTTCATGGTCTAGGACAAGAATCCTTTAGCACTATCCAATAAAACCTTATGTAAGATAGAAATATTCTTTATCTACACTAATGACTAACCATATTAAACACAGCTAGTGGAACTGGGGAAGTAAACACTCCCCTGTATTTCAGTTTAAATATTCCCATGAGGATAGTGGGTGCCCCATTGTACAACTCAGACTATAGCTTCATTTTTTAACAGCTCTCAACAGC